CAATGAAGTAAAATATTGAAATCATAACAATAAATGTATTAACTAGGTTCAGAATTCTAGCACTATAAATGAAATAGTTAAAACAAAATAATAAAGCTTCTAACTAAAAATGTTTAGTTATGCTATTACAAATGTCATTAGCACGAAACCAAATACTGTTTATTGAGTGGCTGAGGATTTAGCAGAATTCTCTCCAAGTAAATTACTTTTATAACTTCCCTGGGGAGATCAATGTTAACCAGACAAACTTCCTTTCTCAAATTTTGTGTTCTGGCAGAGCCAGTGTTTAATGAGAGTAGGTGTGTTAACTGCTCGGCAAAGAAAGGACTGTGAGCAAACAGCAGGGGTTTATGAATCAGACTGTAAAACATAAATTTACATCAAGCTGCATGCACATTTCCTGAGAGCCCTTTCATTTCTGAAATGGTGTCATAACAGCCTGTAACACCATAACCCAGAACTGTACTGGTAACACAAAACAGCTCCATGTAAAAAAAATAAAAATAAATCTGGAATCAAGACAGACAGACATGATAGCTCATCTCCAATATCATTGTTATTTACTCAAACAGTTTTGTATTTTGTACAGTTGAAGCCTCGGGGAAGGAATCAACTTTGTGAAAGATTAATGGCTGGTTGCATCAGCTGTGCAGTGCAGTGATTTGCTGGGTATTTCTTACAGGAGCGGCCAGGGCAGTGTTTTTTTCAGTTGCGGCTTTATTGATGCATTTGTTGCAGCAATCAAAAGGACAAATTTAAGAAGTAAGTCTGCAGGACCTTTGACTGAAGAGCAGGAGCAGGTTTATTTAAAATTTCGAACAGTCGAAAATCTTTGAGAACGAGCATTCCTCAAAGAAGAAAGCAATCTTAAGTTTCTAAGAGTGCGAACAATCAAATCTAGACTTTGGAGTTGTACCTGAAGCTTAATTATAAAACAGTAAGACCAAAGAAGAGGTATTCAAATTCAAATTGTGTAATATCTATTCACACCCCTGACACCTTGGCATAGATGATGCTCACTTGCTGGGTAAACTGAGTCTTGGTCTTGGACTGTCCCTGAATTGGCTCCTGATTAAATTGAGGTGCCCCATGCTTGGCGCAGAACCAACTTCCACACTAGGAAGCACTTCTCCAGCAGTACTCTATTGAATTTCTACAAAATGAGGAATATTGCAGTTTTCCTTTTTTTAAGTAACACAACGTTACATGCCTGAAGCTGAATACATGGTACATGCATGACTGGATTTGCTGGCCAATGTACAATCCAATTCCAGATGTAAAACTGTGTTAACCCTGAGACCAACATCGTTATCCCTGTGGGTAAACTGCCCCTCAAATTCTTTTACAAGCGGGCTCCCTTCAAACCACAGGGGTAAAGGACAAGTTATGAGAAGAGAGTCTAACAAAGATAGGTCCTGTCCATATTTTTAAAGCTATTCTGCCATTGCTGAAAGTTAATTTGCCTAAGGGAATTGTTAATTGTATTATTTTTTTTTTACTTTTAATAGTCTCTACTTGTTTTCAAAACAGATGTGTTCCTTTACTAAAAGTTGTTTACTTCAAATGTGTTTCATCATATCCACCTGAGGTTTATCCAACAGGTGTATTATCCTCAGAGAGAGAATTACTAAGTTGCTCCATGCAAAGCTAGCGTAACTGTTGCTCAAAACTCTTGAGCTGTCTCTTAAACAATCCCTACACTTCACTAGAGTTAATCCTAGACTGGAAAGGGAGTCTTAGTTTCTTATTAAATAATTTAAGAATGTATTCATTTTAATTACACACGGGCAAACAATAAATTCACAAAAGCACCCTTCATGCATTCCGATATGATTTGGTGAAATCCATGAATGAATGAAGTGAAAGTAATACTATGCTGCTACAGGGGAGAAGGCAAAGTAGTTCCCTGCAGTAATTGATTTTACAGCATCTATTCTGAACAGATCATTTACTTCTCACACCGAATACGCCATAAGGCAAACCAAGTAACTGCACTCTGATTTTTACAGGGTTCTTTTCTCCCCCATTTACTCCAAGGAGCAAAATATTTAGAGTCCTACACCTCTTCAACCACCCGTGTAAGATGGGGGTCAAGATCATATTGGAACATATAATTTAAGCAGAGGCAGCTCATTTTATGCTTAAATCAAACAGTTGTTAAAACTGACTTAACACACAGGCACTGCAGGCACATTGATCACCTATAGATAACACTTGTTCTTTTTGTTCAGGTGGGTAGCTGCGTCAGCATGCGTAGGCTGCAAAGGAACAAGTAATAGGTTTATTCCATGCTGAAAAAAAGAAGAAAGAAAACACAACGTTTCAGCTATGGAGCCTTCTTCAGGTGAAGACCTGAACAAGGCTCCAGGGCCGAAACGTTGTGTTTTCTTTCTTCTTTTTTTCAACATGGAATAAACCCATTACTTGTTCATTTGTTCTTTTTGCCCATTTCTGGGCCAAAGTTAACAACATGTTCTTCGCAAATGTTGGATACAAACTTTTATAATAGATTTGTACCATGATCCAAACATGTTGAAAGTGTAAAATTGCTTGCTGTGGTGTACTTGCAACAGTTCATGTGGTAATTGTCTTGGCCAGTGTGTTAAAGTGAGGTTATGATAACATAACACTTTATTTACGACATATAAAAATGATCCTACATTATAAATTAATTCAGTGAAGACATCTACATGAAGTGTAACCATATAAGCATCAACACAACTGAATAACTAGCAAAACCTTGAATCCCAAGCTAACGCTCGGTGCTCTGCAAGAAAAGCAGCAGCTCTTTTGCAAGTGGAACTCCTTCAAGAGGAAAAAGCTGTCCAGTACCTTGCAGCTACCTGAGCAAAACATACAAGAAAAACAAAGCAACTCAAAACAACAAGTATTCAAAGAACTATTTCATACTTCAGCTGAAAGTGTCCAAAAAGTAAACATTCTGTTATCAAAAAAAGTACAAAATGGTCATCACCTATGGCTGTTTTTTGTATCAGTTTCCTTTTTAAGGAGGGTAAGCAGTTTGACTAAACTGCTGCCTCAGCTTAGCTCCCTTCTTTTTCTCACTATTTCTCATAAGCCAGAGAAGCCACAACTCATGCATTATTTATGCATCTCCCAACAGCTGTTATTGCTTTCCATACAGTGTTATCAACATTAATTATAAATAGACAACATGTTAAAGAGATTTTGTCAGCAACTAATTACCAAAATTGTCAAACTCTGTAGTTATTCCTAGTGCGATACTGCCTTGAAGGAATGGACAGCATGCAGTGGCTCTTCAGCAAACTGCTCAAAACCACCCCCAAAATCGAAAACATTGCTAAAAATTTAGAAATAATGTAGTTAAGTGTATTGTTTACTCTTGATATTAGTTCTCAAGACACTCTGACATTTACAATTTATCCTTTAAGCCACTAAACAGTTGGTTCACTAAAAAACATAACGAGCACAATGTCATCAGCTCAGCAGGACACAGATCATTGCAGTCCTCTCGGAAGATGTCACTTAACAGAACGACAGGCCTAAGAGTTTTAAAGCAATGAACCACAAGAAGGAGGTTCTTTTTGAAAAGCTGTAGGCTGTCTCAAAGCACATATGGTATTAAGGCATTATAGCATGATTTACAGAATAAGATGATGGACCTTTCCAATAACAGAAGAGGACTTTCTGGATAAGACAGAAATGCTCAATATTACTATTGTCATCCTATAACTCTCTCTTCACGGAAGGCATTAAAAAATTATTCAAAAGCAATTCATTACAAAACGCTAGTTCTGGAGGCAAACAAACTCCACATGTAAATGTGTTTGGTAAATATGTGTATAGAACCGTTCTATTAGAGATTGAAAATGTACAAATTTGATAAAAAATAGATTGCTAGTACGTTATTACAGTTTTACCTCCTCAATCTGAAATAAACTGCTGCCAACTGTTATTACAGAACAACATCACTATAGATCAACTCGAATAACTGCACAGCTGAGGAACGTGCTTAGAAAATCTATTACCTTCATTGAAATATTTTCTTGCATGATCTATCTCTTTGTATATACCTATTTTAAGAGAATCACATCTAGCACTTTTGAAACAGCAATTTGAGGAAAACAAGTTTAACTGCTGTCAAATTTCTGACCCCACAAGAAGGGGTCAGCATAAACAGCAGGAAGGGAGAATGTCTTTTTAGAGCTACCAAACTAGCTTGTGTTCCCTTTCCCAAACCTGCTTCAGCATAAAGCATGCTGTCTGACATCTCGGCACTTTCCTCTTGCCAGAGTTGTCTTAAACGTGTCTTATTTTACCTCCATCCCATTTCAGAGGACTGTGGTAGCCAATTCTGTGCTTTATATGCAGGGAAGAAATGCAAAATTGTCACTACACGCTTTTTCAGCTGAAGCAGTCAGAAGACGGGCCATCAGTTGGCAAGCCTTTTCACAACACAGAGCAGGTTGCATAATGAAACAGCATATAAAAGTGAAGTCTGTGACATAAATATTTTGTGCTGTAGTTAATTTCATGTGCTCCTGAGTTATGACAACAGTACATCCGAGATTCAGCATGGCACACTCAGAGGCAATTGAGATACAAAAACTACACTAGCTGACAGACTACAAATCATTTGAATTACTCTCCTCATACAGTTCTGAAACAATCCTTCACAAGGTAAAAACCTCTACAAATCTAGACGGGTTCTAGACTAGAGGCTTGTAAATCATGCACAATGTAATACTACCATGGGACTCCAACCATGGAAGCCGCAGAAATTATAGACAGAACTGTAGATCCCAACTGAATCATGTGTAGAAATCAGAAAGGGTTTATAGGGAAATCACGGGGGTTATTGCTTTTCTTACAAACGTGTTAGATGCACTCAATAACGATCCTATCACAGCATCACATAAATTTGTATTATTGCCAGTGTACCATCAACACCTTGTTACAATCCAATAAATTTTCACCTTGCGGTTCGAAAGCATCTTTAGTACCTGATCTAAGAAATACTCCCAAGGTCAAAACCAAGTGCTGGTTTTCTGTTTTCTCTTCTTAAGCAGTGTTTACCAGTAGGATATCAGTCCATTTTCAGGGCTATAGTCCTCAGGTCACATCTGCATTAAGTGGGACTGAATGGCGCTTATTTGAAATGGGAAGGGTATCGCCTCCTCTGAGAACAGATCCCATTATTCACACTTCAGCACTCTGTTGAAGTATAAGCTTATAACAAAGGGTTATTTTTTACCACATTGTTTGACTTTCTGTTGGCACTGTATAGTTTGGCCTTTTGCAACCTATAAACTGCTTTGCTCTCAGTCAGCCTTTATAAAGCACCACAAAACATCAGCACCCCAAACCTACAAGATTCTCCTTCATGTGAAGTCTAAGAGCAGAGTGGTGCTGGAAATCTCTCATGTGCTGTATTCTGTTTTCTGTACGCCTAGACTGAAAATCCCCCAGGTATTGAAACAACAATATGACCACAGCCACTATATGTATTTCTTACTATTTTACCCTATCTTGCTTGTGAAAAGCTAACTTAAGTATAATTTCACATCAAGATCATCAATATAAGTGCAGTTCTTCTAAGATACTTGATGTGTAGCCTAACATTTCTTTCATAAATACAACACATTAACCAATACTGCACAGAGCAACTGAACACTTTGCCTAACATCTGGAATCAAAATTATAGATACAGAAAACAGTAATGAGATTAATTATTTTAAGTTTTATTTTTTACTTAAGATGATACATGCAAGTAGGACTTGGTCTCCATTTCTGTTTGTTTTAATAGAGCTGTTCACTAGAGAATTATACTGACCGTGTGAAACTCATTACACCTGTGAGTCAGTGTGCATCTCAGGTAAGCCAATGTAAGAAGTAAAAGAAAGGCCACATTTAGCTACACATAACAGTAAGTTTCCCTAAAACATCATATAATCAAACACTAAACATTACACTAGGAACGAAAGCACTCTAATTAGACTAGCTGAAACCTGTTCCAAAAAAAATACCAATAATACATTCAAAGAGCCTGAAAGAGAATAATTATGAGAGAAAATTACTTGTGTTCTTCCTGCATCAAAAGACCTTTGAAATTTGTGAAGGGTAATGATCTTCCATGTTACTATTACTGAAGAGTCCCATGGTAATGGACTAGGACTTATTCAGTGTCGGACCTGGAGTAATTAAGTCAGCTTCTGAGGACTTATTAAAATCATGATAGTAATGTGCATAAGAAGTATGTTTTAGGTACAATCTAAACACAGTATGAATTACAATTGCAAGCTTTTGAAATATAATTTCAGCTTTGGATCAATCTCAGAAGGATGAAGGGTAATGGGTCCATGGCCTGGACTCACTGCTCTGTGGGATACATCAGCTTCCTGTCAATATCACCAAATGAATATGTTCATAAAATGTGGGGTACAATTAAAGAAAAATCGACAACGTAAGAGAATACATCATTTCTGGGTAAAAAAAATATACATCTGATCTCCAGGTGAGCTGTACAAGGGGTCATTCTCTCTGACTGGTTATGACCTATGGATCACAACTAGCAGGAAATAAAGATCTGGGTATAGATTTTCCCTGGACTGTTTTTTCCTCAGCACATGGACGTACAAAAAGTAGCCAGGTGGATAATTCATCGCCTCAGGAAGAATTCACATGAGGATTTTTCCCCCCCAGTTTGCTTGACTTTTTCCAATTACATCATAGTTGTCTCATTATTTGCAAATCACCCAGCAAGAAGGAGAACCTATAAAAAAGTAATAAAGATATTTCTGTGCTGAATATAACAAAGACTTATTAATTGCTATTTACAACAAGCTCCATGGTGCCATCCTTGACAAAAGTATGCATTTTACCAATAACTGATAAGGACAACACTTTAAACATGAAACCCAGATAACTGAATATACAATATTTCCATAAACATAAAATCTGCAACGCCTTATCATTTTCTGATGAGCATATTATTCATAACCAGAGCACGATGGAGGCATTACTCTCACTTAAAATGCAGTTAATGACCACTGCTTCATAATATGCATGTTTATAGTTGGGATAATTTGAAAATAAGATTATGGCAATTTTTGTTAATGCTAATCAGATACAAGATGTGTGTTAATCCAGTAATGTCAATTAAGGTGTTATTGCTGCTAACATTAGACAATGCAAAAGTTACACAAACCGTATCCAAATGATATTAAAGTAAATCAGTTTCTTAAAAATAAAAACTAGATATTTCCTGAACAAATTTCTTTGGAAATTCTAGACTGAATTGATAACCCATCTGAAAACCTGTTTTCAATTACACAAATGACATTTGTATTGCACAGAACTCAAAAAGCATTTTAATGGTGCTACTACTCTTCAAAGAGCAAGATGTCATCAAAAATAATCCTGTGTGTTGAAAATATATTCTATAAAGTGGGTCACCATGTAGGTTTCATCCACAAGGGAACTAAGGATGTACAGCTATGGAGATACAGCTCTGTAAATTATTCACAAAGACCAGAGCCTGTGTGATTTCCTGTGGATCAGCGTTGTTTTGCTGGTCAAAAAAAAAAAGATAGAAATATCTGGAACTTGACCCATTTGACTGCTTTCTCAATAAAACAATTGGATGATTCTGACTAACTCAATTGCTATTCAGTCCTACAACACTTTCAAACTTTCACATGACAATCATCCCTCCAAGACATAACAACAAGGAAATTAAACAAATAACCTAAAATAATTTGGTTATATTAGTAAAAAAATATATTTTTTCTTTGGTAAGGGAACCAAGAATCGGTACAGAAGCAGAAATATAGATAAATATAGATAAAGTAGTCTTACCGTTACTGATCTCAGGAAGGTCAAACTTGGTGAAATCCCACCACTGCAGCCTGTAGGTTGTATTTGCTATGTTGCTGGCGACTGCTGATTGTCCATCTCCAATAACAGCACCTGCAGAAACCAGAGCATTTATTAATACCTCCCATACAAAAGGAAACCTGTAGCCATCACCTCAGTCTTTTTTTTTTCTCGAATGATCTTTGAGGTTTAAACACCAGTTGAAGATCTGTGGAGAGAATTCTGTACGACAGAGTTCCTGAACAGAAAAAAAACAACAGCCAGTGCAAGGCTTTGAGTTTGTAATCCCTTCTTAAAGGACTTTCTGCAAAATGACGTGGCCCAAGGTGAGAAAGTGATCTGGGCCTTAGTCATAATGCAACATGCCCACTTGTTTCCAATATTTACATTTTCCAATGTTTATTTTAATACATCCAATATTTTAGATGTAACCAAAACTGATGTACCCATCAAATGCAACTTCAACAGAGCTGGGTCTTCTTTCTGCCCGGTAGAGAACTCTTATCCAGATCTGGGTTTGTAATTAGCAATTGGTGGGTGAGCTTTCTACTTCCTGTTCCACAACAAAGCCATGTTACTTTGATTTACACTGATTAGGCATACACCTTAACCCTCCTAAATTTATCAACTTACAACTTACAATTGCTACAGACGGACATTTTGGCATATTTTTTCACCTTGTGTGTATATTTCTGATAAATAAGTGAATCTGCTACATTATGATGCAAAAGAAAAAAATGAAACAGGATTCTTCTGTGTTAGGTCAGATGTCAGGTAAGTTTCACACCGGCCTGTAAGCTTTACTTTATATCAAGGGGATTCGAGGCCATGACAGATCAAAGGCTGGACCATTGGGAATGAACATAATTTATAAATCATTTAACACAAGTAACTAAAAGCGCTTACACGAAGCACATTTACCTGCCTCATATTGAAGGTTTTCTGGGATTAATATCCCCTACAACTTTAAAGTTTGGAGTTTCTACTTATTCAAATTGAAAAAAATAATAAATAGAAGAACAGGCATTGTAGTCATTAAGTAGTCTTATACTATGTGGAAAACTGCAGTCGTTTCACTTAGAATTGCAACAGGTATCACAATCCACAATTCCAAACATACACCGTAATTCGCATTTTAAAATATCCACACTCCCAATTACCCCGAAGTTTAATATGATGAGTTATTAAACCCCAAAAGGTTCTGTTTGCTCAGCAATGAAAGGATAACATTTTCACTGTCACAGGATTACAGGAGCTTTTCTAATGTTGTGTGGGAGGTGTGTGAAGCGGGTGGCAGGAAACAAAAACTTAACGAGGAACAATTCTCTCTCCCCTTTCTCCTTGAGAGTACACATCCCAGAGCAATAACAGCTGGCACTCCTTGCTCCCCAGCTGTGCACTAATCCACCACATAAATGAGTACAAATACTAAATGCGTAGGTTTGAAGGTCACGCCATCCTAGTAGTAGTTGTCACAAAGGAGTCGGAAAGTTCCAAGTATATTTACAATACGATGCATAAGGCCTTTGTTTTAAATAACGCTGACTCCATGAACTTAAACTTCACTTTGCGCTCCATTCCTGCATAACTCAAAAGGCCAAGAAGCCATTCTTCAGCTTTATTGAGTCAGCTGTTCTTCTTGATTAGGGACAAAACACATTTGGGGTCATTCTAATTTTATCTTAAATAACAATAAAAAAAGATAATTTCCTAAGAACCACTATGAAGGACTGATAGGATCAAACAGGGTCTAACAATTGTACATTGTTCTGTATTTTTAACAATGAAATGTCATTAAAAAAAAACAATGAGAATATTGTAGTTAATGGAAACATTAGCAATTTCATACAGAAAACAGCAATGCAGTAACTTCTCCAATTGTACATAGCAAAAGCACTTGAAAGGTGAACAGGGGGAGTCTCTCCTCCTCTCCCAAGGCTAAATTACTATTCCATTTTAGAAGTAATGTGTGTCAGACCTCAGAAAACCAATATGATACACCAGAAAAAATGCCCTATATTTTCTCTTTCTTTTTCACAATGATATAAACAGATATCTCTAGGATAACCAAAATAACAATATTTCTACATCCTGTTACACACTCTAACTAAATTATAGCAGGGGCACAGCATTGTATATGAGCTACTTAAAAGTCCATTTACAGAGCTGCAGACCTGAATTCAACCCTTGGATTAGATTTAATTCTCATTGTGCACTTTAAAGTATGCAATGCAGACATAAATACCTATTAAGCTACTCCCATTTTTTTTTACTGCTTTGCATCTTCCCATTGATTACAATGGGAGATCTTAACTATAATAGCTTATGCCAGACAGATGAGTACTGTAATGTCACATCTGCAGTCTTAGACAATAACATTGACAACAACACAGCAATACTGCAGTAATGGGTTTTCCTTAATTCTGTTGAAATCAGAAGATCTTATGCAATGCACTTAATTTCACAGCTATTACTTATAGCAATATAATATAACATTTCCATCACCTTACTTCACTTACACTTTTACATACCACCCAAAAAACGGATAATATATGATCCAGGATTAGATGTACATTTGGAAATTACCAATCACAAATCAAACAAGGAACAAATACCTAGGGAACGTCTATATGCAAAGACAAAGCATCTCTGCATGTACATAGATCTACTCTAATGATCAGTGTCTACAGGCCACTTCCACAACTGAATGGCTTTCTATGGCTTAAACAATACTGATATACTGCAGTCATAAAGACATTCACATTTAAACAAAGCAACGCTGGAGGACACAAGCATATATCTATGTTATTCTCAGTCCTCCGAAATAATGGAATAATTCTAGACTCTTGGATTAACTCACATAAGAACAAGCAAGGTCAGTGCTAAAGGCCAGTTCTGTTTTCATTTACATCGTTTAACACACTAAGGGCAAGCTAATGTGCTTGTTAATGTTCAGCTGTACAATGTAAAGAAAATATTATGGTCTTTCCTGAAATTCAGGTACAAAACACAAAACATCTCATTTGAAAAATCTCAATCTCATTCTGAAATCTGGTGAAGCTTTTTAGTCTAGTGTCACATTATATACTGACTGCCACCCACTTTAATAAGCGGATTTCCTGATTGATTGAAAATAAAGCTACAGTTGTGTAATTTCTCTAAAAGCAAACTAAAACTAAAGGTACAGCATAAATTACCCATATCAATTAATGTAAAAAACTTCCTTACTCGGAAATTGGCACAGATTTTCCCTGCAGGGAGAACTGTAACATCTAGCATTTTTCTTGTAAAAGTACAGAAAGAGCTGTCAGATACATCAGTTTGCCAGCAAAGATGACTAAAAAGAATCTCTGTCCAGGGCTAGTAATGTTTTTCTGTAATACGCCATGAAATAATACTCCACAGTGATAAAAAGATTGCAAACCTTGCTACTGGTATGACACAGTTGGAATGCAAATTTAATTATGCTAGTAACTGCATAAGGATTTGGAGTAATAAAATGCACAAAGTGACTGTTATCCTGTATGCTTATGTTTTTATGAAAGTATGTATATTAAGAACATTGCTTCCCTGTTCTACTCTTGAAGATTAGGATGAAAAACACCATTCTCAGCATAAAGCATTTTAAGAAAATTAAAATGATCATTATCAGAGATCAACTACAGTTCCAAAGGCCCAGAGTAAAAAATAACTTTTCTTATTCTTGTAAATTCTTCATGTAAAATATATGAAAGCAACACTGGTTTAAGTACAAACAAAAAGTTGCAATTAGTCATACAATAACTGGAAGGGAAAAAAAGAATCATGCTTCAGACAAAAGACAAATTCAGTCTGTAGGATGGACAATTAAGTTACTCACTGCATCATGCAAAATACTATTAAATCTACTGATGAGAAAAACTTAATATGCCACTATTAGATATGCTTAGTTGACATAACGTTATCAAACCTTAACAGACACTGTCCACAGTTTGACGGATTAAATACTTAATGTTTATCTCCTATAGCATGTAAATGGGTTAAATCTCATTAAAGCCTCAAGTATTAAAGCAAATACAATAACGTTATAGGGCAACTACAAATAACCATAAACTCATTACTACACCGAGTGATTTTCCAATATTAGAACTTTAGGTCAAACATGTCTATCAGATACAAAGGGACCCACTGGTTAGGATTAAGGCAAGCAGATATAAAAAAAAACTTTTAAAAAACCACCTTAATTTCAGAGTTAAAGAGAAAACTTGACAAACAGGGCAGTATGATGGTTCAAAGTAGCTTGTTTTTCATGAAGGGGTAGCTATAATCATTTTCAATTCAAGGACAAAATTTGAAGTACTGTACGTGAAGGGAATAAGTCACAGCTCCACAGATGGAGAACAATTTGTGCCTGAATTCTGCAGTAGCGATATCTGGTCCACAGTGGGACTCGGGCATAGAACTACAAAGTATTTTACTGTAATCTGATTAAGATCCACCTGAACGTGAAATCAAAATGAAAACAGTTAATGCGTCACACAAAAGAGTTTCCAGGATGACAGTTAAGAGTGTTAACAGAGTTTTCAGGATTGCACTATCTGCACTTTGTATGCCAGTGTCCTGTCTGTATTTGCACTGTGGACCAGGAGGAACGATATTTCCATAGCCATATTTGTATATGGCTGTAATGACAAATAAATGTGAACTTGAACTAATGAGGGGGAAAAAAAGAAAGAGAAAGAGAAAATCAGGGCTTTCGGAGGTGATGTCCAGAAATAGGATTTTGACTGCCGAAACTCAGCTGCTGTCAAGCGAGTTCCCGACGCTCAAAATGCTCCCTCTCTTTCCCGGGCAGCCAGGTTTCCCTGACAGATTGAAAACTGGTTCTCCACGCGCTGTTAGGCATTGTGACAGAATGGCTGCCATGAGATGGACACAGGGCGGCAGCTTACGGGGGAAAAAAAAGAACCTGCCTCCCATCTCACCTCTGCGCGGCTCTTATTGAGCCCGCAGCCGCGGCGGCTCGGAGCAGACTGCGCTGCGCGGCCCGCGCTCTCAGAGGAACGGCCCTCTCACGGCCATTCCCAGTAACTGTTGATGGACGCCATACAGGC